GCACCAGGACTGGTTCCTGCTGTCTCACCTCCCTCCTGACTGGTCCACATCAGCACCAGGACTGGTTCCTGTTGTCTCACCTCCCTCCTGACTGGTCCACATCAGCACCAGGACTGGTTCCTGCTGTCTCACCTCCCTCCTGACTGGTCCACATCAGCACCAGGACTGGCTCCTGCTGTCTCACCTCCCTCCTGACTAGTCCATATGAGCACCAGGACTGGTTCCTGCTGTCTCACCAGACCCAGATGGTCAGTTCTCATCCTGCTGGCTGCTCCTTTCATGCTGATGGGTTAGCAGGTTGTAGGAAGGAGGGCTTGTGAAGATGACCCAGGTGAGCACAGACGGATAAAAGAAAACCGCATCTGTAATCTCTTAGAAGTGTCGTGTGGCGCCAGGTCCGGTTGGACCGGTTCAGCCAGCCCGCATGAACTACAAACGCTCTTATATCATTTCTGTTTGCTCCACAAGAATCCAGCCGACACACTTCCTCAGAAATGTTGTTTCTGAAAGTTCAACGCAGGATATTTTATCCACCGCGTCACTTGACATCCACCTGCAGCTGGAGTCGGAGCTCCTCACCAGCACGTGTTGGTTAAATCATTTCACTTCTTCTTCAGAAACTGCAGTTTCTGAAGCTTATCGTCACGTGCACGGCTTGTAAAACTGTGTTCTTGACCGTGCACATAATTTTTGTTGACTGTGTCAACAGCTGCCGCCGTGTTTCTGATTTAATCTGGAATGAGCAGAGCTCCTGCAGGACTCAGAATCCAGCTCCAGACCTCTGGATTCTGCAGAAACTAAACCGGGTGTGGGACGCCTGCGACGGCTCGAGGGACGGGACTCTGAGACTCGTGCGAGGACAATGAGAACCTCGGAGAACGTTTGGAGACGTTTTGGAGACTGTCAACAATGTTGTCCATCATCTGGTCTCGACCAGTCAGGCTCTGGGTTTAGGGTGACGGCCTCCTGTGGCGGAGCTGTTGGACCTGCAGGGACTTTCTTCTCACCGTTCTGAGAATGCTGCAGCTGCAGTTTTATTTTCTGTTCTGGTTTGAGTGATGGGTCTGGTGTATTTTTGTTCTGTTCTGTTGACCTGAGCCGCTTGTGTCTGCAGAGTCGCCGGCGGTGAACTCTTTGACTTCCTGGCAGAGAAAGAGTCTCTGAGCGAAGAGGAGGCCACTCAGTTCCTGAAACAGATCCTGGATGGAGTTCTGTACCTTCACTCCAAACGGATCGCTCATTTTGACCTGAAGGTAAGACAGGTGGCAAACCTCTGACCGCCTGGTTCGTCAGAACCGGTCTTGGGTTTATTAACCTGCAGAGTCGGGCTTTAACGCTTCACTGAGGTCCGTCAGCGAAGACGAACATTTAACAAGCCGTCAGGTGGACTGAGGCTCCTGGTTCTCCTTGACTGACCGGGTTCTGTTTCCGTCTCGCTCTCGTTTTTGTTGTTGTTTGTGTTTGCAGCCGGAGAACATCATGCTGCTCAACCGCTCAGTGCCTCACCCGCGCATTAAGCTCATCGACTTCGGACTGGCCCACAAGATCGACTTCAGCAACGACTTCAAGAACATCTTTGGAACGCCAGAGTTTGTGGGTCCGTTTGAACGAGCTTCTGTTTTTATTGTTTGTTTGTTTGGCTGATGTTTCTGCACAAATAAAGAGCCCGGTGTAAAAGCTTCAGACTCTGAGGAGTGGATTCACTCTCTGCAGTCGGTCCATTAAAATCACAAGTCCCAGTGGAAACGAAGCCTAAACGTTGTTCCACCTGGGAGGCTCTTTAAAACTTTAAAATTGAAATAATTTAATTTTAATAAGAAACTAGCAATAGTAAATTGTATGTGCAGTGTGTGGTTTGTGCGTGCGTGCGTGCGTGCGTGCGTGCGTGCGTGTGTGTTGACCTAAAGAGTCAGAAAGAACTTCCTGTGCTTGTTTCAGCTCCAGAGGTGGTGAACTACGAGCCTTTAGGTCTGGAGTCAGACATGTGGTGAGTTGAAATAAACAGAAAGATGCTGTTTGAAAAATTAGCATTTAAACCTGATTTATTGACTTCCTGTTTGAGTTTGACCACTTCCTGTTTGAGTTCAGCGACTTCATGTTTAAGTGTAATGACTTCCTGTTTGAATTTAACAACTTCCTGTTTGAACTTAATGACTTGTTTGAGTTTAATGACTTCCTGTTTGAATTTAACAACTTCCTGTTTGAACTTAATGACTTGTTTGAATTTAACAACTTCCTGTTTGAATTTAACAACTTCCTGTTTGAACTTAACGACTTGTTTGAAATTAATGGCTTCTTGTTTGAGTTTAACGACTTCCTGTTTGAGTTTGATTTTCTGTTTCAGTTTAATGACTTTCTGTTTGAATTTAACGACTTCCTGTTTGAAGTTAATGACTTGTTTGAATTTAACAACTTCCTGTTTGAACTTAATGACTTGTTTGAAATTAATGGCTTCCTGTTTGAATTTAACAACTTCCTGTTTGGGTTAAACGACTTCTTGTTTGAGTTTAACGACTTCCTGTTTGAGTTTGATTTTCTGTTTCAGTTTAATGACTTCCTGTTTGAGTTTAACGACTTCCTGTCTGAGTTTAACGACTTCCTGTCTGAGTGTACTGATCCCCTGTTGTATCTTGTCCTGTTTGTGTTCAGGAGTATCGGAGTCATCACCTACATCCTGTGAGTAACCCCTCCTCACCTTCTGACCTATCAGATTTGTGAAAACATAATAATAATAATGAATTTAATTTGTAACGCACTTTTCATTAACAAAAATCTCAAAGTGCTACAGAGTGCAACTAAAATCTGTGATAAAATCAACTAAAATCAACGATACAATCATGTGGAGGCAGAACGGGTTTGCTTGCTACTGAAACATGATTTTTTCCTGCAAATGAGTCGGTGTTGTTGCTCCTGACTGTTAGATGAATGTTTGACCTTTAACCTCTGTTTTCCTCAACACGATGGTGATAATCTAACTTCCTGTCTGAGTGACAGAACCGCCCTTCGTCCCCTTTCTGCTGTAGCTTACACTAAACGTGTTTCTGTGCTGAAGCCTCTTTATAATCACCTCAAAGGTGAAAGTGATCATGTTATCGTTTGTGTTTGTTAGCAAAATATCTCATGAACTACTGAATGGATTTATTTGAATTGCACAGAAAGTAATCATTCAACTATTCTAATGTAGATTAACTTTAGGAGTCAATCAAGATGGCTGCCACAGCTAACCGTTAGCCAACACGGGAAGTTCGGTTCACAGATGTAGTGAGGCAGAGTTTGTGTGGTAGTAGCTGAGAGTCATTGATAACTTGACTTTTAAGGGGCTGGTTTGAATGTTCTTCTGACCAAAGAGCTGCTTCACAGGAAACAAAGTCCTGGAAACAGCAGAACCTTTTGGACCGTTACATAACCGGAGCTGCTCAGAAACACGGTTTGATTTTTGCATTTCGCTGTAAAACACGCCTCGGGACTCGTGCACATCCAGCGTGCACAGCGTGAGATCCTGCTGTCAGCCCACACAACCATCACAGCCCAGGAAATAGACTGATCCCTGCAGGTTCTTAAAGCTGCGGCGGAGAGGCGGGCCGGCTGCTCCGGTTCTGGAGGGGGCGAACCTGTCTGTGCTCGAGCTCGGCAGAATGAAACATGCGTTTATGTGCACGTGTCTGCGCACGTGCCTGTGCACAGAATGCATCTTTAATCAGCTTGATTCTATTTTAAAAAACAGACGGTGACGTCTCGCCTCGGTCTGCCCCCCCAGCTTTAGTCCAGCATCTTTACTCCCACTCTTCCTGTCCTCGGTGCTGGGTTTGACGTCTTGCTGATGTGTCTCTGTCCTGCAGTCTGAGCGGCGCCTCGCCCTTCCTGGGGGACACGAAGCAGGAGACGCTGGCCAACGTGTCGGCCGTCGATTACAGCTTCGACGAGGAGTTCTTCAGCAGCACCAGCGTCCTGGCCAAAGACTTCATCTCAAGACTTCTGGTCAAAGACCCAAAGTACGTAAAATCCCAAAGAAGAGTTTAATAAAGAGATTCTGATGAATGTTTTCATGAGAAAAATCCTTTTGGTCTCTTTTCATGACTGTTTCTTTACGGAGCCGTTTCTTTTTAAACACGAGACGTTTATTTGTCCTCAGTAAATCACACGAATGCACGAAGAGCAGGTTCATCATTTTACAGTCACAACATCACCACAGCCTCAGGTGCAGGCGTTCAAGTGTCAGGGCGACTTGTTCCTGGACGGAGCAGGAGATGGGTCAACAGATCAGGCTCATCCTCCGTAATGAGGGCGTTGCTCCGGTCGATCGTGGTGAAGAAAAGGTTCAGCTCTAAATTTACTGTTTATGTTCCAACTCTCACCTGTGGTCCTGAGGTTTGGATCTGAAAGAACAAGATCCTGGATACGAGCAGCTGAAATGAGCTTCCTGTGTAGGGTGGCTCAGCCTTAGTGATAGGAGGAGGAGCTCGGAGAGTTGCTGCTCCTCTTCATCAGGAGGAGTCAGTTGAGGAGGTTCATCTGATCGTGATACCTTCTGGACGCCTCCCTTTGGAGGTTTTCCAGGCACCTCTCGCTGTGAGGAGACCCAGGTCAGACCTTGGAGTCTCCCAGGAGGAGCTGGAGAATGTCTGTGGGAGAGGGAGGTCTGGGTTTCTCTCCTGGACCTGTTCCCTCTGACCCGACCACAGATGAGCAGTAGAAGATGTTTCTGTTCAGGGTTTATTTTCTTCCATCGCTTGTTTAGTTTGATTTAACCTGAGTTGACTCGTGGTTTTAGGCTGCTCGGACACCAGAATCTGTTCCTGAAACTTTTATAAACGTGTTGAAACTAATGAAAACCATCACGGCTTCTGCTCTTTCATCCAAGAGAAGATGAATATCTGCAGGAATCCTGTTGATCTGTTTACCTAAAGGAGAGCAGCTGGACCTGAGCAGGTTTAGTTTTTTAAAAACAGCATTTGAAGGTTTCAGCAGCTGAACGTTTCGGTTCAGACCGGACGTCTTTCATCGTGCGCTGGAGCTGGACTCGAACTCCTTCCTGTGGTTGTTTACTGGAGCTCGCCTCGTTAGTCCTGAAGACGAGGAGCGGGTCAGAGTGGGTCCTAACGGGTCCGGAGACATTCCAAACAGCAGCTGCCGCGTTGCTCGGTGAAATGTCCTCTGGCTCCAGGTCCTGAGATCGTCCCGACTGTCTCCGTCCCTCGTTAGAGTTGCTGTGGAGACGGCTGAATGGACGGAGCTGCCATCGGACCTTTCCCAGCGTTAACGAGCTGTTTTTCTCCGAGCAGCGGAGCGAGAACCAGAGGGCTAAACTGACGGCACCTTTGTTAACAGACTTTATCAATTTAACTGCTGGGGGCTCCAAGGACCTGATCCTGGAGGGTTTTAATTATTTACACCGTCAGCTGATTGGATCCTCTCAGCCGACAGAACCAACGAAGCACCGTTTTATTCTCTAAGATCCTGACCAACGGCTCTGATCAGCCCTCGAACCGGAGAATCAGAAACGTCAAAATGTTTGTGTCATTTCACACAAACACCACACAACCTGAGCTCACGCTGCGAAACATTTCAAAACAACACTGTTTATTTATTTATTTATTTACTGTTTATTTATTGAAAGTGCTGATGAAGAGAAAATATGAGCGGTCTCTACAGGAAGTGATGTTTTAAATGAATTTTACAAAGTTCAGCTGATAATTGCAGCTACTGGGTAATTCCACATTTTAAGCTCATTTCAGCTCCTTCCACTTCCCTCTGGTAGTTGAAGCTTCTTTCTGCCTTTTCAGCTACTTTTCAGCAATTTTGTGCTAATTTCAGCCTCTTTTTTTTTTTTTTTTGGATAATTTCCTATTTTTTGTGCTCATTTCAAGAAAACATCTTCTTTCTGCTTTCTTCTGCTAACTTAGGCTTGTTCTTCCATTTCAGCTACATTTCAGCATGTTTGAGCTAATTTCAGCTGTTTTTGTCTTGAAGTTTTTGAACTCAGCTGATAGTTGAACCACTCATTCATTGTCTGAATGTTTATGAAGCATTCACTCTGTTGTGATCCAGTTTTCTTCCGTACGTTTTTCAGCACGATTCTAGTTCCACAGTTTTCAGCTATTTCAACAAATCATGAATCAAAATGTTCGGCTCCTTCAGGACAATCCTGCTATGATTTTTGGTATTGGTGCAACTTTAGCTTTTTGAAATATTTAGCCTTTTCTGACATTTTATTCCTCATAAAAAATGAACTGAGTTCATTTTACATCCTTAAAATCTTTAGATCTGTTACAACCTTTTACTGCTCCTTTCACTTTTTGTTCTGCTTCAGCTTCTTTCAGCTTCCTTGTGCAAATATACACTGTTTTTCAGCTGCTTTCAGCTAATTTCAGCTGGATTTTTACCTGTTTTGTGCTCCTTTAAGTGGCTTTCTGCTAACTATAACATGTTTGTGCTTCTAATTTCAGCATGTTATGCACCTTTCAGCTATTTCAGCTATTTACCTGTTTTTGCTAATTTTATCTTTTTCTGCTAATTTCAAAATTTTCCATTCATTTCAACTTTTTTCAGCCTAATTCAGCAAAAATGTTCTCTCTCCCCTTTCTTCTGGTAATTTAAGTTTCTTTTTGCTTTTTAGCTACTTTCAGCTGTTTTTTTTTTTTTTTTTTGCTAAGTTCAGCTTTTTCAGATAATTTCCACTTTTTTGTGCTCATTTCTGCTTCTTTCAGCAAAACGTGTTCATTCTGCTCTTTCTGCTAATTTAAGCTTGTTCTACCTTTTCTGCTACCTTTTTAGCATTTTTCGCTAATTTCAGTTGGTTTCCGGTAAACACGAGCTTTTTGTGGTAATTTCTGCTACTTTCAGACTAATTAATTTATTTCTGCTAATTTCAGCTTGTTATGCTTCTTTCAGCTTTTTTCTGATATTTCAGCTACTATTTAACTAAATGTGCTAAATTTATCTTTTACAGCTACTGGGTAATTCCACATTTTTATTAAATCTCATTTCAGGTCCTTCCACTTTCTTCTGGTAGTTTTAGCTTCTTTCTGCCTTTTCAGCTACTTTTCAGCTATTCTGTGCTGATTTCAGCCTTTTTTTAAGCTAATTTACTATTTTTGTGCTCATTTTTGCTTATTTAAACTTAATTAAGGAAACTTCTTTCTGCTTTCTTCTGCTAACTTAGGCTTGTTCTTCCATTTCAGCTACGTTTCAGCATGTTTTTAGCTCATTTCAGCAAATTCTTCAGCTTTAAGCATTCATATTGCATTTTCACAGGAAATGCAGTTTCTCTAGTTTAAATTAAGTTTAAAAAGGAAATGACTAAAAGCTACAAGGGTTGTGTTGTTTAATCTCTACGGTAAGAGTAGTTTTAGTTTCTGTTTGAAACTTTAATGTGACAGAATAATCTGCGCAGGTTTGGTTGCTCTAACGTCAAACGTTTAATCATTCGTATAATTTAATACGTTGGCATGTTTCTGTTTGTTGCCTTGTTCGTGTCTCTAAACTCGGATCATTTCTTGATAAAGTTTCCGTCTCTTGTTTCTGCTCCGTTTGCCATCAGACTCCAGGAATCCTTCGTTAAACTCCGTTTTCAGGTTTATTCACGTTTTTAAAATCAACTTTCAGCAGGAAAATAACCGGAGGTGTTCCTGTTCTGCCTTAAAATCACAGCAGGTGTTGGTTATCTTTAAAAATGATCAAAACTGATTGGTTTTTATTTTTTAATAAAACCTCATTGATTCACTAATAACCTCTGATTATTTATTAAACATCCGATTGGATGAGAACCAGTTTTCCCAGTTTTATATGAAATAAAGCACCATTGCGTTGATTAAAGTAGATGCTGTGGATGTTTCTGGTCACTGATTATTTGTTTATCTCCAGAAAGAGAATGACGATCCAGGACACCCTGCAGCACCCCTGGATCAAGGTCTGCATCATCACTTTCAAACCCGAAACTCTGTTTCTGCAGCTCAAATAAGAAAAATGATGAGTTTGTGTTTGTGAACGCAGCCCAAAGACACTCAGCAGGCTCTGAGCAGGAAGGAGTCGGCCGTCAACATGGAGAAGTTCAAAAAGTTTGCAGCTCGAAGGAAATGGAAGGTGAGGTCGTTTCTGATCCTGTTTCTGAGACATCTCAACATCTGGACGTTCTGCCTCAGCAGATGTTCCTCCTAATTAACTCCACTTTTCCCTCCTGGGGTCACCGTGTCTGACGCTTCTGTCCTGCTTTAAATAATCTGAAAGTTAAAGGGGGGGTGTTTCTGAACAGTTAATATCTTACCTGCTGCAGATGGCTCTTTGAGTGGCCTCAGTTTGGAGAACCTGTTCATTTCTGACGGGGCTGATGAGCTAAAGGTCAAAGTGGACTGCTGCGTCTGAAAGCACGTTAATCTTAAAAGTTTCAGAGAGATTGACAGGAAGTTGTTTAATAAACATCTAATCTGCCGTCGGATGTGAACTGATCAGAATCTAAAGACAGAACCTTAAAGTTGTAAACCGTAGGCATGTTTTTTTAAGCTTTAAAGCAACACGACCGAGGACGGAAATCATCGTTCATCTTCAGATGAATATTTCTGTAAAGGTTCTGGTTCTGACTTATCTGTGTGCTGAAGTCCAGGACCTGCAGGTTCAGTGATGCTCGGCAGGGAACGTTTTCTAAAACAGTTCAGGTCAGCGGGGTACCGAGACAGATCTGAGAGACTGGGAGGAAACAGAGCAGGAAATCAGTTTATACGTCCACGTGTTTAACGGCTAACGGGCCTGCTAACGCAGGTCGACATGAACTCCTTCCACTCCTGCTCACTCGTTCTTCTTCTCCACAGCAATCCGTCCGTCTCATCTCTTTATGCAACCGGCTGTCGCGCTCCTTCCTGTCCCGGAGCAACATCAGCGTGGCTCGCAGCGATGATACACTGGTAAGACTGGAGGGGTGGATAGATGGATGGATGGAGCGGTGAATGGATGGATGAAGGGGTGGATAGA